CATAATTTAGAGACACTTGAATCCAGTTTATTTCTTTTTGTTGTTGTTGTTAATCCTCACCTGAGGATATTTTTTTCCCATTGGTTTTTAGAGAGAGTAGAGGGGAGGGAGGGTGGGAGAAAGGAAAAGAGAGAGAGAGAGGGAGAGAGGGAGAGAGAGAGAAAGAGAGAGAGAGAGAGACTGATTGATTATTGTAAGAGAGACACGTTGATTGGTTGCTCCCATACATGCCCCAACTGGGGCTAGCGATCAAACCTGTGACCCTTTGATCTGTGGTTGACGCTCTAACCACTAAGAAAAAACAGCCAGGGCTAGTTTATTTCTATTTACTTTGTAATATAAATATTTTTCCAATGCTGCTACAAAGTTTTAATCGGTGTTGTTTTTAGTGGTAGCATAGTGTTCCTTTGCTCAGCCACTCGACAACTACAGAATACATAGACAGTTTCCATATTTTTTTTTAACATAAGTGTTTTGACAAGTATTTTAACAAAGTGTAAGCAACTTTGCACATTCAATTTACTTTTTTCCTTTTAAATCATTCTTAGAGATGAGTTTTGAAGTACAGAATTTGCCTGAGAAGTCAAAAAAGTATTTTCATAGCCCTCAATTTTTTTTTTGTACGTATTTTTTTAATTAGAAAAATCTTAAATATGCTATTATTGATTCCAGAGAGAGGAAGGGAAAAGGAGAGAGTGATAGAAAGATGATGAGAGAGAGTCACCGACCAGCTGCCTCCTGCACACTCCTAGTGCGGATCGAGCTGGCAATCTGGGCATGTGACGTCCTGGTTCATGGGTTGGTGCTCAACCACTGGGCCACACCAGCTGGGCATAGCCCTCGATATTATTTTATTGCCAAAGAGAGCATTTGTGGATTAATTCCTGATTGTATTGCAGTAACCACCATCCTGACTGACCCCAACCCCATCTGGCTGGTGGGGAGGGCTGCCGAAGCTCCATTTGTGATTAATGCTGTCATCCGATACCCTGTGGAAGTCATTTCATATCCTTTCTGTTAAGAAGCCAACAGTAGCTCAGTTTCCAAAAAGGATTCCTCGCTTGTCCCAAGAAGAAACAGATGTGGGAAGCCTTAAGTTGAAATTGCTACAGCATTGCAGCCCCACACAAACCACTCCGTCTGCACTCTTGTCTGCTAGTCATAGGGGGGTGGGGGCTAGGGAATCCATTTCCTGTTCCTGTTTCTTTATGAGCAATTCTTCTAGGTCAGAGTCATCCATATTTATGTCCTCATAATCTTTTAGTATCCCTTTTTATCTTAAAGGTATTTGAAACATTTTTGCCATATCCTGTCTAAACTTACCCGCTTAACATTTACTTAGAAAATGTCATCTGAGACTCCTTAACTGTGTATACTTATCTACCAGGATTCTGGGAAATTATAAAGTTTGCCTGGATCCAGTATGTCAGTATCCTACTTATCTTCCTCTGGGTGTTTGAAAGGATAAAAAGATTCGTGTTTCAAAATCAAGTGGTCACCACAATCCCCGTGACAGCAATGCCCCAGGGAGAACTCTATAAGCAGCACTTATCGTAAGTAGGCCGTGACCGGAAACGAAGCAGGGCCCGGCTACCTCATATTGTCTTCTGAGAACTGCCACCTGAGGACACTTCAGAAAAGGGCCCACGGACATGTGCCAGCATGTGTGTGTTCCCTTACCAGCGACAAAGAAGAGTTCTTTCTAATTTTTCTCTATGCAAATTCCATATTTTCCAAAAATCATCAGAGACCGGTTTGTGGAAAGGTCTGAAAACGCTATAATTTTCTCTCCCGCCCTCCTCTTTTTGGCCCTAGACTTGAATTTCAAGAGAAAACTACCATCAATGTAGACATGTTGGAAAGGGTACCACCTCTAGTCAAGCAGACTTTTGCTTCCTGGAACTGAGAAACACGCTATGCATTTCTTCCCCCTATTGTAACGCACTTTTGACTCTTGAGGGCTCTCAGGACAGATATGCAAATCATTAGCACTTCCCACTCTCAGGCACCTAAATTTCCCATTTGGAACTTTGATTTCCGGGACTGAGAGACCTTTAGCTGGAGGATTGGAGAGAGGGAGTGCTCAGGAACATTTGTGTGCATCCACGTGAGGGTGGGCAACTTGAGGACACTCGGACCATCCACCTGCCCTCAGACTAACAGACATCTTCTGTCATCAGCCCGGCTGAACTGCCCTTGTGTGGCTGGCTCCTTGCCCCGTCTTTTGCTCTCTGTCTGTGCCCCAGGAGTAGCAGGCTGAAGTCAGAAGTGCTGCTTCATTCACAGTCCTCTGGGCCACAGTGGGGGCAATAAGGATTGTAACCGTCGCTTTTCTCTCTGGCCCTCACCCAACAGCCTGGACACTTGCCACTCCTCCTTCTTGACAGCCTCTCCCCCTTCCTAAAAAGGACATGGGTGACAGAGGACCTGTTGTTGGCGTTGGCTCCCTGCCCAACAACCACAGAGTTTATTTGGAGGGCTAGCGGGAAGCCCGGCTCCTTGCATTTCCCTGGACTAAGGAACAGGGTGCCCATCGGAGCAGGCAGCTTTGGGAGGGACGCAAGGAGGTGCGGGGAGGAGGATGCTAGCCCCCGCAGCTCAGACCAGCCTGGCCCATGGCAGAATGGCGAGCAGTCCAGCCACAGGACCCTCATGACTAAGCGAGTGTCTGCAGGAGAAGAGTGCTGGGTCAGGCCTTTGTTACACACAGGAGATTGATTTCTTCTCGCCCTAAGAAAACATGCAGTTTCCCCAAAGGATAGATGGATCTGCTTTATGATCTCGTGATGTCATTGGTACCAAAAACACACGCCCACTATGACCTGGGCTTCATGCCCATTCGTAAACATACTCTTCAGGGTGTGCCTCAGTTTACCTTGGTGATTCAGTTTTTATTTCCAAGCCACCTTTTCTTCCAGGCTGACCAAAATTAGTGTTATGGAAACAAAGCTATTTTGAAGTATTCAAGCACACAGAATCCTAACAGTGGCCCCTCTGGTTTTTCTTTTAAACTTTAGGACTGCTTATTTATACACCTAACTTTTTTTGAGATTTCAATCAATGAAAATTGGTTGCCAAATTTTCTGAATTACCAGAAGATGATGAGATATGGAAAGACAGCTGAAGATGTATAGACATTGCTTTGCATTTTATTTAGTTGTTTTATTGCAAAATTTGTATAACGAACCATGATGTTTCATAACTTTCTAATTAAAATGTTCAAAATGGAGGCTGCATGTGACTTTTCAGAGGGAAGCGTTTGGGAAGGGGAAGCGTGGGGAGGGCAGAGGGAGCATTTCTCCGTTACTCACCAGCAGCCTTGCTTTGCCAGGGTTCTGCTGAAGACCTTGGAGCTTTTGTTAGCTCTTTGGCAAAAGGCCCCTGGTCCAGCCCCAAGTAAATGTGAGTTTTTGGTGGAATCCACATGGCGTGTGGGAACCACAGGCTGGAAAATTACAAGTGTGTCTGATGAATGTCATATTTACAGATCAGATATTTGTAGCTTCTGAACCTGAATCACAGAGTGTAGTTGCAAGAGAAAACGTGAGAAATATACAGGATTTTATCCACGGAGCTTTAACCAGTAGCCAAGACAGGGTTTGAGACACTTACTCACTATTTGGAGGGGGCGATTCCTAATTTTTTGAAATGATTATCCAGTTTCTGTTTGAATCAGGTGAGACCCTTAAGGCCCCACTTGGGTCACATCATTAAAATTAACAGAGAGATTCTATATGGTCCCCTTTCTCTCATGTTCATGATTTTATTTTATTTACTAGAGGCCTGGTGCACAAAAATCATGCACTGGGGAGGGGGGTGTCCCACAGCCCAGCCTGTGGCCTGGTCGCCCCCAACTGCCCTCCCCTGCAGGTCCGGGCCCCCCCAGTTGCCCTCCTCTGCAGGCCAAGTCACCTCCAACTGCCCTCCCCTGTAGGCCTGATGGCCCACAACTGCCCTCCCCTGTTGGCCATCTTGTGTGAAGGTGCGATGGTCAATTTGCATATTACCTCTTTATAGGATTTTTTTTTCCCCCCAGAGGAGAATGGAGAGAGATAGAAACTTCAATGACGAGAGAGAATCATTGATTGGCTGCCTCCTGCACGCCCCCTACTGGGGTTGGAGCTGGGAACCCGGGCACGTGCCCTTGACTGGAATCGAACCCAGGTCCCTTCAGTCTGCAGGCCAACACTCTATCCACTGAACCCAACCAGCTTTTAAAAAGTTTATATCTGACCAGAGCAGTTCTAAATGCCTACTGGGGGAAATGTGTAATTAAAGAAAATAAGTTGTGACTTTGCTACCCAGAAGTTACTACTGTTGGCATTCTGGTACACATCCTTTGTATTGTGTTTTTTCTTCTTCTTCTTCTTCTCCTCCTCCTCCTCCTCCTCCTCCTCCTCCTCCTCTTCTTCTTCTTCTTCTTTTTCTTTTTCTTTTTCTTTTTCTGTCATACACTTTCTTTGAACCCGGTGTACAAACCTTTTGCTGCCGGTTTTTATCTCCTTAAGATCGGTCCTAGAGAGGAATTACTAATTCAGAAAGCTTATGACTGTTCTTAAGGATTTTAACATCTTGCCAAGCCGCATCCTGGAAAGAATGCTCTCATCTCTACGGGGGCTCTCGCAGCAGGCTTCTTTTAGAAGCCACCACGGATTCCCAGAGGTCAGACTTGTCTATCATTTTCAAATGCCTGGTCTCTGCTCTTTTATCTGGAGGGGGAGGGGGGCCATCTGCTTTATTTACTGAAATGTATCCTGTATTTATCCAGGACTCTGCCCTCTTGGCTAGAGCAAGGAGGGGAGGAGAGAAGACAGCCACCCAGCGTGGGGCCTGGTTCCTGAGGGCCACCTGGTGTCCCAGCCCCTCGCAGCTCCACTCCTTCGTGGGTTCACCTGGCATCCAGGTGCCTTGTACTTGGCTCGGGGCTGAGGCTGGGACCTCCTCGGGAAGCTGGGTTTGGATTCCAAGTCACTTCGCTGCTGCTGCGAGAATGCCACACCGAGAGCGAGGAGGGGCAAAATTAAGATTAATTTCTTTTTTCCCCTTCACAAGGGCCTTTTGTGCTCCTGGGAGCCTCCCTCCTTGGGACTGTTTTGGTCCATTAGTGAGAGGAGAGGTGACTCTGCTAAGAGCCCTCCCCAAACAGCGCGCCTCCTGCAGCCCCAGAGCCCACCTGTGCCTCCTCTCACCAGGGGCCCTCTGCGCCCGCCCCTGGCCAGTGTCCCTCCCCCGAGGCGTGGCCCCCCGGCCCGAGAGGGGCTGGTAAGCCGGAGCCGGGGGCCAACCGGCTTCTTCCTTCGCTCCCGCCCCGGCTGCCGCCTGCCAGCTCGGGACCGCAGCCACGTCTGAAAGCGCCTCATTGTGTGCGCTGCGCTCCGCTCGCTCCCCGCGGGCAGCGCCGGACGCGCACTGGGGAGCGCGGGGCCCGGGGCTGGGGCGGGCGGGGACCCCGAATCTGGTCCTTGTGGCCCCAGGACTGCCGCCAGCCACCCCAGCATCTTCTGACGCCTCTTTTTTTTACGGGAAAGCGTGCCCTGTTTACAGGTATCTCCGCCTCGGGTCCCCAGGTGCCTCCAATACCTTGGCATCCGTAAAGCCCCATCACCCGTCCCTGGCATCACCGGCGCCCCTTAGTAACCTCGGGATCTCCGCGGAACGGATCAGCCTGGGAAGGGAGGGGCTCCCGGCGCAGGGACGGCAGGCTGCGGAGTGGAACTTGGAAGAGGCGACAAGGAGCCTTTTCGGAGCCTCGGAAGCAGCCGCGCCAGGTCAGCCCGGGACCTCCGCGCCGCTGTCTCCGCCTCGGGCTGAGCCAGGGGCAGGCAGGGTTGAGGTGGGGGGACTTTGATCTTGCACCTGGAGGGGTTTGAAAGTGATGGTTTTATCTGAACGCTTAAAGGCCATCACTAGTTTTAAACCGTCTTCCAGGACGTCAGCTAATCCAGATAGCTCTCCGACGGCATTTTCCACGGAACTCCTGAGAAGCGGCAGCTTGGTGAGTGAATCTGGAACCAGACCCAGCTGATTTTTTATTCTGGCAGCCCCTGCCTGGGCAACAAGAGAGACCTCTCTTGGCCTCGGCATAGGTGCCCAGCAAATGTCAACCCTCCCGTTCCTTCCCTCTTGTACCAGAGACGTGGGGATGGGAAAGCTGAGGCCTGAAGAACTGAAAGGCTTTGGCTGCCCTGAAACCATGAGTGAATGAGCCAAGTGCTGCTCCCTGGCCGGTGTGGCTCTGTTGAGTGTAGTCAGTCCAGTGCATCAAAAGGTAGTGGGTTCAAATCCCAGTCAGGGCATATACTGAAGTTTGATGCCTATCAGGGTGTGTGCAGGAGGCCACTGACCCATGTTCCTCTCTCCCTCTCTCTCTCAAATCAATAAGAATAGTGTGCTGCCTTAACAGGTCTGGCTCAGTGGATAGAGTGTTGGCCTACGGACATAAGGGTCCCAGGTTCAATTCCAATCGGGGGCATGTACCTTGGTTGTGGGCACATCCCCAGTAGGGAGTGTGCAGGAGCTGATGAATGTTTCTCTCTCATTGATGTTTCTGGTTCTCTATCCTTCTCCCTTTCTCTCTGTAAAAACTCAAATATATATATATATATATATATATATATATATATATATATATATATATTTTTTTTTTTATTTTTTTTTTTTTTAAAGAATAGTGTGCTGCTCAGTGAGCGCTGACGAGGCTAAGGATCAGATTGTTCCATTCACTCCTCTCCAACCTGGATGGTACGTCAGCTGACGCACAGGGAGCTTAGGGGTGACTTGCTCAGGCCCAGGCCTCGGTGGTTGTAGAGGCAGCGTCTGAACCCAGTCTGGCTTCAGGAGGCAGGCTCCTGGCTTTCACTCACTGGTTTACGTTTTCTATGGACATGTTCTGGCCCTGTCTGGCTGGCCACGTTCTGTAACTAGGGTGCTCGAGTCACTTGCACCCGGTTAGGCTATTGTCCTTGTTTCCCTTGTAAAACCCAAGGGTTCCCTTGGAATCATAGAATATAGTTGTAACCCATGGTTTGGAATATTCCCGAGCAAGTACTCATAAGTGTACTTTGTCCTACCTTTTAAGTATTAACTCATGAATTGCCCACATGTACAAACAACTTCCTACACTCTGTTCTGATCTTGAGAAGCTCTCTGACATTGTCTCTCAACTATGTTTTACAGTTTAATGCTACTTTGCAGTGAAGTCTAAGGCTTTCCAACTCACTTAATTGTCAAATTAAGCCCATGCTTGTGTAATGCAGGGATGGGCAAAAATGGATTTACAGTTCAGAGTATGTGAAACAGTTTATTCTTATGTTATTTATTATTTATTTGCATTATGTAAACCTATTTTTGCCAACCCTGTTTTATTTCCCCCATTTTATAGATTAGGGGGGAAAGGGCACAGAGAGGTTAAGTAACCTGCCCAAGATCACGCAGTAGATGATCAAGTGGAGTCTCACTATTAACCACTATACCACCCCCCTCCTAAGAGACAGACCACATCCTGCTTCTGTTCTCGTAAGGGGAGATAGGTACAGCAATGCATAAACAAGAGAATTCTGGGTAGTGATAATAGCATTAACCATGGTTTCTCAATATCACCTAATACAGTACTCAGTTCATATTCAGATTTCTCTGATTGCTTTCAAGATATCTTCTATGGTTGGTTGCTCTGGATCAGAATTCAAACAAGGCCCACAACTTGTTATGTGTTTTGAGTTGTTTTCTTCTAAAACAGTCTCTTTTTTATGTCATTGACTTGTAAGAATGATTTACTTTTTAAAAAAATCAATCTATCTATAAAAATAAAAGCTTACACAAACACACCAGAGAACATTCCAGATGATCTCTGTAATAAAAAGGCTCAGCTGTAACCAGTTTGGCTCAGTGGATAGAGCGTCGCCTGTGAACTGAAAGATCCCAGGTTCAATTCCCATCCAGGGCATGTACCTTGGTTGCGAGCACATCCCCAGTGGGGGGTGTGCAAGAGGCAGCTCATCGATTATTCTCTCTCATCAATGTTTCTAACTCTCTATCCCTCTCTCTTCCTCTCTGTAAAAAAATCAATAAAATATATATTTTAAAAAATAAAATAAAAGGGCTCAGTCAACACCTGGGGGAACACAGGGGAACGTGCTAAATGCGCACCCCCTACCTCCCTATGGTGCGTGTGTTACCAATGAGAAGAGGCGGAAGGCCCAGACTGCAGGGCCCTCCAGCTGCCAGGTTCTATGCCCAATTTTAGACCACACAGGTGCTGTGCAGAGTGTGCTTCAGGGGTCTTCAAACTACGGCCCGCGGGCCACATGCGACCCGCAGAGGAGTCTGATCCGGCCCGCCAGGTTTTTTGGGCAGTGAGCGCAGCCGAGGTGTTACAGTAGGAATTAGTAGTTCATATAGTCCGGCCCTCCAGCTCTCTGAGGGACCATGATCTGGCCCCCACTTTAAAAAGTTTGAGGACCCCTGGGAGGATCCCCAACCCCAGAGCTGGGGAAAGGGGTTTATGGATTATCTGCTCTAAAGTTCCCCCAGGGTGACTCTGAGCTAAGGGATTTGAGGCTCTTTTCCCAGACTATTAATAATTTGATTTCATTTCCCAATACATTCTTGCAGGCAAATCTGTCTCCTCCAGCAACATCTGGGTTGTGTGACTCCAGCCTCCCTGACTCTGGTTGGTGCCACAGGGCAGGCAGAGAGATGCCAAATGTGCTAGGCTAGGGCTTGGGGTTGGCCACCTGTTTCGCCACAGCCCAGCTCACAGGGCTGAGGGAGGGCGTGTGAGCCTCCACACCGTCACTGCATAGGAGGTAATTCATCCTACTGCCCAGCCTTCTGGTCAACTGGAGACCACCTCAGCCGGGAGGTAGATATGCAGGCACCTCTCTCCCTGCAGTGGAGGCGGGAGCAGGCAAATTGTACCCATGCTTCCTTTAACCAACTAAAAAGAACTGATTTTATGATTGCCAAAGTAATAAAAGTTTATTGTAGACTATCTGGGAAAAGGCAGCACAACACTAATAAGAAAAATCAGTACTTGTAATCTGGCGATAGGAAATAATCGCTAATATTTAGCACATATCATTCCAGCTTTCCTGTTATAAATACACACTTGTGTAATTATTATAACAGCTTTATTGAGATATATATACACATACATTACAGTTCATCCTTTTAAAGTATACAATTCACTGGCTTATCGTATATGTAGTGTTGTGCGTTAATCACCTCAAGGTTTATCCATGTTGTAGCATGTATCAGCACTGTGAAGACCCACATCCCATGTGGTTCAGGGTTTGGGATCTGGAGAAGGGGCTGCACGTAAATGAAAGAGACAAGACAAGAAATAATAATATTTATATGACTATCTGGTGGGGAAGTTGCTTCAGCTACCATTGTCTCTACTAAACAGTGGATGCACAGCTCTCACCTCTGCCAGCTCTCAAGGGTCACCAGCATTCTGGGCTCCTTGTCCACAGCTCTCTGCGAGTGAAGACAATGGGGGGCTTCCCACAGGTACTTCCTTTTTTTTTCTCCCTCATTCCTTTTTTATTGCCAAATAATATTCAATTATATGAATACATCACATTTTGTTTATTCCTTCATCAAATGCTGACTATTTGAAATGTTTACATTTTAGGCCATTAGAATAATGCTGCTATGACAGTTTGTAAACAACTTTTTGTGTGCACATGTTTTCAGTTCTCTTGGGTCCATATTTTGGAGCGGAATTGCTACATGGTGACTCCCTGTAAGCTTTTTGGGAGAGGACTCTTTCCATAGCTAGTGCACCATTTCCCATTCCTGTCAGCAGTGTAGGAGAGTTCCAGTTTCTCCTCATTCTCACTAACACTTGATATTATCTATCTTTTTCATTACAGCCATCCTAGTAGATAAAAGTGGGCTCTCATATTTTTTTCACTAATCCTCACCTGAATGATTTTTTGAGAGTGCAAGGGAAGCGGGGAGACAGAGAGAGACACATCGATGTGAGAGAGAGACTACAACGATTGGTGGCCTCCTGCTCACACCCCGAACGAAGCCAGAGATTGAGCCGACAACCAACATACATGCCCTTGACCAGAATCCAACCTGAGACCCTTCAGTCCACAGGCTGATGCTCTAACCACTGAACAACTGGCTAGGTTCTCATTGTAGTTTGAGTTGCATTTCTCTAGTGACCAAAAATGTCAAGCATCTTTTCATGTGCTCATAGGTTAGTTGTACATCTTCTTTGGAGAAATTTCTTCTTAAATCTTTTGCTCATTTAAAAATCAGGTTGTCTTTCATGTGGAGTTGTGACAGAATTTTATATACTTGTATTTTGCGTCTAAGTCTTTTGTTGTGTATATGATTTGCAAACATATTCTCCCATCAATGGGTGTTCTTTTATTTTATTGATGGTGCCCTTTGATATTCCTGTTGTATGGTTTTTGTTTTTTTTTAACACAATTGTTGTCATATACAATTAACACACTTGGTATGTGTATCCGTGTGTGTTTTGTTACTTGAGTTTTTCCACTTGATACTATATAGTTAAAAGCTCTGACCTTAGCGGGTTCAAATTCTAACTCAGCTGCTATGGGTATGCGGATCCTCTAGGCAAGTTCCTTCATCTTTCTAAGTCTCCATTTCTTCATCTGTAAAATAGGCTGAGCATCAGGTCTACTTCATCGGGTGGTTGTGAAGATTAAACCTGAAGATGGTAGAAAAGGCGTGGCATATAGGAAGCCCTCAGTGGGTGGTATTTACTGATGATCTTTGTACTCCCTCCACCATAAGCTCTTACCTTCCCCCTCCTATCTCTCTTTTCCTCCCTCTCTGCTTGATACTTTTTTTCTTTTCCTTTTCTCTCTCTCTCCCTTCCTCTTCTTGCCTTCCCTCCTTTTTAAGCTTTCTCCCTAATGAATGGCCAGCCTCCATTAGCCCTGTTTTTGCCCACTGCTGGGGTGGTCCTTAATACCTAGAGTCCACTGATCCCGCATCCAGAATCCATTTTCT